GGTTTTCAATTGGCCTTTTTAAGAACAAACATATTTGATAAGTTGTTTACAGTGAATTTTCAATTATCAAGTGTAAATTCAACCCACTAATCGAAGATCTACAAAGTGCGGAAGGTTGAGATGAATAATATGCATTTTAGTCGAGCTTCTGATACAATTTTCCAGCAAAATCTGTGAAAAAAGCTCACTTTTGTGTACCGAACCTTCCGTTCTCCTGCAAAACTCCTCTTTTTTTTTCTTTTTATCTTTCTTCATATTGTCTGGTAAGTCACATTGGTTTTTATCATGGCTGAATTTCCTAATTTATGCACTCGCGAAAGGTCCATTCAGGACCATCTTCAAACGCTTTATAATAATCATCGTTCTCAGACGGTACTCATGCAGGAACTAAATGACAAAATTGACCGTTCACACCAACATACCGATAATGAAACTGCTCTGCTCTGCTTCCGCATGCAAACCATGCCTTACAATTGAAGCTAGACGATACTTCCTTGGATATTCAAAACCGATTAGAAACTCTCGCCCGAAATTTCGAGGATTCACTTCTTGACCTGCGACATCCGATGTCGTCTAATGCGCATCAACGCAATCCTCCTCCAACGCGCCGGTTCTCCAACCGCTATTCATCTTCCGTCCACAAAACCGGAAAGTCTTTCTACCCATCCCTCTGCAGCTATACAAATAAATCAGACTGTTTCTTCCGCTGATATACCGTCCCAAATGCGCCCGGCACCTCAGACTGTTATTATTCCGGCACCTACCATTCCTCAATATTCTGGTACACCTTCTGAAAAATCTCTCCAGTTTTTACTTCGTCTTCAGCACTTTGCTTCAAGCATGTACGGCTGGACTGATACTGTATTACTGCGGGATGTACCAGAACCGGGAACCGAGGAACTGTCGGCAGAACTGAGTCAATTGCTACCCGGTAGGAATTGAGGAACTGTCGCCAGAACTGAGTCGAATCCTCGATTCCCCGGCTTTTTTCCTTTTTTAAGCATATACTTCTGACTATACACTCTGTGTCACCTCAATTCTACCAGTACCCCGGGGAAATGATGGTAGGTTTCTTTTAGTTACCCAGCAGGAACTGACGAACTGTCCCCAGAACTGAGTCCAATCATCGATTCCCCGGCTTTTTTCCTTTTTTAAGCATATGCTTCTGACTATACACTCTGTGTCACCTCAATTCTGCCAGTTCCCCGCGGAAATGGCGGTAGGTTGCTTTTGGGTACCCGGTAGGAACTGACGAACTGTCCCCAGAACTGAGTCCAATCATCGATTCCCCGGCTTTTTTCCTTTTTTAAGCATATACTTCTGACTATACAGTCTGTATCACCTAAATTCTGCCAGTTCCCCGGGGAAATGATGGTAGGTTGCTTATGGGTACCCGGTAGGAACCGAGGAACTGTCGGCAGAACTGAGTCAATTGCTCGATTACCCGGCTTTCCACCTTTTTCTAGCATATACTTCCGACTATACACTCTGTGTCACCTCAACTCTGCCAGTTCCCCGGGGAAATGGTGGTAGGTTGCTTTTGGGTACCCGGTAGGAACCGAGGAACTGTCGGCAGAACTGAGTCAATTGCTCGATTACCCGGCTTTCCACCGTTTTCTAGCATATACTTCTGACTATACACTCTGTGTCACCTCAGTTCTGCCAGTTCCCCGGAGAAATGATGGTACGCTCCTTGTAGGTACCCAGTAGGAACTGACGAACTGTCCCCAGAACTGAGTCCAATCATCGATTCCCCGGCTTTCCACCTTTTTCTAGCATATACTTCTGACTATACACTCTGTGCCACCTCAACTCTGCCAGTTCCCCGGGGAAATGGTGGTAGGTTGCTTTTGGCCACCCGGTAGGAACCGAGGAACTGTCGGCAGAACTGAGTCACTTGCTCGATTACCCGGCTTTCCACCTTTTTCTAGCATATACTTCTGACTATACACTCTGTGTCACCTCAATTCTGCCAGTACCCCGGGGAAATGATGGTAGGTTTCTTTTAGTTACCCAGCAGGAACTGACGAACTGTCCCCAGAACTGAGTCCAATCATCGATTCCCCGGCTTTTTTCCTTTTTTAAGCATATACTTCTGACTATACACTCTGTGTCACCTCGATTCTGCCAGTTCCCCGGGGAAATGATGGTAGGTTTCTTTTAGTTACCCGGTAGGAACTGACGAACGGTCCCCAGAACTGAGTCCAATCCTCGATTCCCCGGCTTTTTTCCTTTTTTAAGCATATACTTCTGACTATACACTCTGTGTCACCTCAATTCTGCCTCGTTCCCCGGGGAAATGGTGGTAGGTTGCTTATGGGTACCCGGTAGGAACCGAGGAACTGTCGGCAGAACTGAGTCAATTGCTCGATTACCCGGCTTTCCACCTTTTTCTAGCATATACTTCTGACTATACACTCTGTGTCACCTCAATTCTGCCAGTTCCCCGGAGAAATGATGGTAGGTTCCTTGTAGGTACCCAGTAGGAACTGAGGAACCGTCCCCAGAACTGAGTCCAATCCTCGATTCCCCGGCTTTTTTCCTGTTTTAAGCATATACTTCTGACTATACACTCTGTGTCACCTCAATTCTGCCAGTTCCCCGCGGAAATGATGGTAGGTTGCTTTTGGGTACCCGGTAGGAACTGACGAACTGTCCCCAGAACTGAGTCCAATCATCGATTCCCCGGCTTTTTTCCTTTTTTAAGCATATGCTTCTGACTATACACTCTGTGTCACCTCAATTCTGCCAGTTCCCCGGGGAAATGATGGTAGGTTGCTTTTGGGTACCCGGTAGGAACTGACGAACTGTCCGCAGAACTGAGTCCAATCATCGATTACCCGGCTTTCCACCTTTTTCTAGCATATACTTCTGACTATACACTCTGTGTCACCACAACTCCGCCAGTTCCCCGGGGAAATGGCGGTAGGTTGCTTTTGATACCCGGTAGGAACCGAGGAACTGTCGGCAGAACTGAGTCCAATCATCGATTCCCCGGCTTTCCACCTTTTTCTAGCGTATGCTTCTGACTATACACTCTGTGTCACCTCAACTTTGCCAGTTCTCCGGGGAAATGGTGGTGGGTTGCTTCTGGCTACCCGGTAGGAACTGAGGAACTGTCCCCAGAACTGAGTCCAATCATCGATTCCCCGGCTTTTTTCCTTTTTTAAGCATATACTTCTGACTATACACTCTGTGTCACCTCAACTCTGCCAGTTCCCCGGGGAAATGGCGGTAGGTTGCTTTTGGGTACCCGGTAGGAACCGAGGAACTGTCGGCAGAACTGAGTCACTCGCTCGATTACCCGGCTTTCCACCTTTTTCTAGCGTATGCTTCTGACTATACACTCTGTGTCACCTCAACTTTGCCAGTTCTCCGTGGAAATGGTGGTAGGTTGCTTCTGGCTACCCGGTAGGAACTGAGGAACTGTCCCCAGAACTGAGTCCAATCATCGATTCCCCGGCTTTTTTCCTTTTTTAAGCATATACTTCTGGCTATACACTCTGTGTCACCTCAATTCTGCCAGTTCCCCGGGGAAATGGTGGTAGGTTGCTTTTGGGTACCCGGTAGGAACCCAGGAACTGTCGGCAGAACTGAGTCACTTGCTCGATTACCGGGCTTTCCACCTTTTTCTAGCATATACTTCTGACTATACACTCTGTGTCACCTCAACTCTGCCAGTTCTCCGGGGAAATGGTGGTAGGTTGCTTTTGGGTACCCGGTAGGAACTGAGGAACTGTCCCCAGAACTGAGTCGAATCCTCGATTCCCCGGGTTTTTTCCTTTTTTAAGCGTATACTTCTGACTATACACTCTGTGTCACCTCAATTCTGCCAGTTACACGGGTAAGTGATGGTAGGTTCCTTGTAGGTACCCAGTGTGGACTGAGGAACTGTCCCCAGAACTGAATCCATTCCTCGATTCCCCGGCTTTTTTTCTTTTTTCAAGAAAGTTCTGTGTTTGTGGTTGCTGTTTGGTTTTTGGTTTTCTGTAGAAGGAAAATGTCAGTTCCCTGGCGGGGAACTGGCTATCAGGTCAACTCATTTCCTCGGTTCCTTGCGTTAGGTATGGTCAGGAGCTCATTTCCTTTGAAGAAATTGAGGAATTCAGAAGGAATTGTGGGTGTAATGTCTGTGTCATTTCCTTGTCACGTTAATACCTATCGGGGATTTGTCCGGGAAATATCGCGGAAATGTTTAGTGAACGATGGTCATTTCTCAGTTCCTTAGGAAATTATATATATTTGTATGGTATTATTAGGGATTAAGAGAATTCGTATTTGTCAGTCCTCGGACACCCCTCCTCGTATAAATGCTGTAATCAATGCAATTCTGCAAGCTTCGACATATTTCCACCACCACCCCTTAGTTTTAATGCTGTTAACGAAGTCACTAACATCGACTTGTCGAGGCATTTCT